CTGTGAATGCCAGCTGTTACTGCTGTCTCCCTTGACATGCTTTTCTGCAAGTGTTCATCTGGGGTCACACAGAACGGCCAGATCTAGAGTTGGAAGGGGCTCCAAAGGCGATCTAGTTCAACCCCGTCTTTTTTGGCTAGGCAATGAGGTTAAGTGACTTGCCCAGGGTCACACAGCTAGTAAGTGTCAAGTGCCTGAGGCCTGATTTGAACTCAGGTCCTTCTGACTCCAGGGTCGGTGCTCTATCCACTGACCCACCTAGCTGCCCCCCAACCCCCTCTTTTAACAGATGAGGAAACTGAGACCAAACNAGCTAGTAAGTGTCAAGTGCCTGAGGCCTGATTTGAACTCAGGTCCTCCTGACTCCAGGGCCAGTGCTCTATCGATACACTGACCCACCTAGCTGCCCCTCAACCCCCTCTTTTAACAGATGAGGAAACTGAGACCAAGTGAAGGGATTTCCCCAAGGTCACCAAGGTAGTTCTTCCCTCCTGGGGATCTGGAGAGGGACCCTTCAAAAACACATACAGCCCCTGAGGACCTGGAGGGGAGAAAGGCTGAACTGGGCTGGCAGAGCGTCCAAGCAGAAAAGAGGCAAAGAAAAAGGTTGGACAGCAAGGCAGGAGATGGTGGGGGTACTTCCTCTGGACCAGAAGCCAGTCAGCGAGTGAGCCAGCAGCCCCCACTCCCCCCTGCCTTGGTTCCTGGCTCTATCACTTAGCCCAGGACAACTTCTAGGGCCGGGAGGGGCTTCTCCTCTGAGCTGCTGCAGCAGGCAACTGGAACTGAGCCCAGACCTGTGTCCCTCCCCTGAGGCTTCTGACCCTCCTGGGGGTCAGGGTGGGATTCAGGAGCTTTGGAGGGCCCAGACTGCTTCCAGAAGAGGTGCTTGGCCCAGTGCCCTGGGGAGGGGGGGTTCCCTCTTGACCTTGCAGCAGATTCACGGCAAAGTAGTTGAAGTGGATATTGTTCATCTTGGCAAAGATATAAATGGCCCGGCAGGGCGGAGAAATGAGGTCCAAGTATAGTTCCAGGCTCATGGTGACCCGAAGGGACTGGAGGGGAGCACCAGGGCTTCAAAGCCACCTTGTGAGACAAGACGTGCCCCCTGTCCTGCCTGGAGCTGCAGATGGCCACGTGCCCAGGAGCACCACAGGCCAGTGCTCTCCTGGCCTCGGTTCTAG